GAGTTTTGTGAGTGAGTTTTGTGAGTGAGTTTTGTGAGTGAGTTTTGAGAGTGAGTTTTGATGAGTGAGTTTTGATGAGTGAGTTTTGATGAGTGAGTTTTGAGTGAGTGAGTTTTGAGTGAGTGAGTTTTGAGTGAGTGAGTGAGTGAGTGAGTGAGTGAGTGAGTGAGAGAATGAGCATCTGACAGCACAAACTGCTGCGCCTGCGCCGAAATCTGCACTTCAAGGTTCACCCAGCACTGCGCCGGCCACGAAATCTGCACTTCGAGGTTCACCAAGCGCTGTACCCGCCACAAAATCTGCGCTTCGAGGTTCACCAAGTGCTGTGCCTGCCACGAAAGCTGCACTTCGAGGTTCACAAAGTGCTGTGCCTGCCACGAAATCTGCACTTCGAGGTTCCCAAGTGCTGCGCCTGCCACGAAATCTACACTTCGAGGTTCACCTAAGTGCTGTACCTGCCACGAAAGCTGCACTTCAAGGTTCACAAAGTGCTGACGAAATCTGCACTTCGAGGTTCACCAAGTGCTGCGCCTGCCACGAAATCTGCACTTCGAGGTTCACCAAGTGCTGTACCTGCCACGAAATCTGCACTTCGAGGTTCACCCAGCGCGCTTGCCACGAAATCTGCACTTCGAGGTTCCTGAAGTGCTGTTCATGCCACGAAATCTGCACTTCGAGGTTCACAAAGTGCTGCACCTGCCACGAAATCTGCACAGGTCACAGAGTGCTGTGCCTGCCACGAAGCTGCACCTGCCACGAAAACTGCATTTCGAAGTAAAACAGATCCGATCCCTTGCACCTGTTACGAAAAGTCAACTTTGGAGCACCAAAACACGAGGTTTCCCTTGCACCTGCCACGAAAAGTGACCACCATGTGCGAAAATGCGCGCGGCACCACAACGAGAGCGCAGTCGCTAGAAGCACCCGCCGCAGACACCCAGATTCAGCGAGCCTGCGCAGTCGAAATGCACATTGACGATGTCGAGAGGCATGAATGTACTGTAAATAGCAGCGAATTAGCCGCGCACGCCCGCGCCGCACACCTATCTAAGCACACCTGCTTTTCTCCTACCGTAAGAACCCCCAATGTGTCCACATTGTTTGGGGAAATAGCACAACCCAAAATGGCCCCAACAAATGTCCGGCGGCCGGGCGGCTGGAATCCGCTCGAGACCTCCCCCATTATGGCAGCCCACACCCAGGCCAAGGCCGCTGAGAAGGTCTCCTCAAGCGGAGGCGAAGAGAGTCGTTCCACAAACCGTGCTGGGGGAATGGTCGTTACACCCCGGGAGCACATTCAGCTTTAGAGTGATAGTTCTCAAAAACATCATCCCGAATCACTTTTCATGGAGACTCGTTTTGAGTGTCTAAAGTCTAAAGATACTTGGACTTGGACCTTGCCAAGAAGTAGCTGTGTTCAGGTCAGAGTCCCTCCGCAAAAACAGTTGAAGATCCTGGCAATCCATGTTCCACTTCTCACTCCTTTCTACCGGGGACCCGGGGCGCAACACCTTTCTGCGGGCAAAGATTCCATGCCCAGCAGCATGTGCCCTGGTGTCAAGTCTAATCTCTGGTAGATGGAATCCTGAAAGAAACGGCGAGCTGAGCTGATCATCTGTGCGAGATCGGCTAGGGCCCTAGGGTTCACTTCGCTTGCAAATCACATGTAGAGTACGTCACCCGCACGGCAGTTACATGGGTGTCATTGTTTTTGGTTCCCAAATCTGATGGTCTTCACCTACTGTCATTGGGTCGACTGCCTGCCCTTCCAGCTTGTCAGAAGCACCTTGTCTTCCTGATGTTTCTTCCTAAGGTCCTGGCCCGGCCTCAAAATTGCTGGTGAAGGAATCGACGACCACATAGCCCAACATCATCAAGACCCCCATCAATGATGTGTGGTGCATGTGCTTCGTTGGGTCCCAAGCCAATTGCTTGAACTGAAAGTCGAAGACAAAGAATGCCACCAAGCCTCAAAGGACTCAAGGAGCTGAAGCAAATCAAGAGTTTGTTCCTTTGCAAGCCGTTTTAGGTCCCTGAAAGTCAAAGTAAACCCTATCTGGTGGTCCATGATTGCTCTTCTTTTCAGGAACGAATGTCCGGCACGTGCCAGGCTTTGTCTTTTGAGACCCTCCAAGATAGTGTCAGGCACTCTTCGCTGTGATATTCAAGCCACCCAAAGGTGCTTCGCTGTGGTTATAATGTGGCGGTGGACTCCCGTTAAAAAGATGATGAAGGTTGCACAAATCTAGTTTATTCCAAGCTACCAGTGGGCATGCCAACTTGCTCTCCTGGTGATTCCCACAGTTGTATTATATGCTTTGAACATGAAGTTTCTCTGCAAGAGCACGGTCCATCTGATCTAGAAACCCGATTTGGGCTTCGGTAGGAAACACATTACCTCATCTCCGCGAGATCTCGGATGCAAAAGTCTGCGTTTTAAGCTTATTCTGACTAGATGGTGTTGGAGGATCTGCCCTGGTCGTTCTTCGGAAGGCAAAACTCCGGACTTGGCCCATCAACTGTCCCTCTGACCCAGTATGTTGAAGAACACGTCCGATCAGAGAGGCTAAAAGTCCATTCCCTCCATCGTTCGGTCCTTACTTAAGTAAGTAGCTGCCTGCTTCATTAAGTAAGGATGCAGGGCCACGGGCTTTAAAACAATAAAAACAGAAAGAAAACAACTGGTCTTAAGAAAAAAGGGAGTCTGGTTAGAATGGCTGTGAGGACGCTCTTTTCGCACCTCTTCGAATCTACATCGCCACGCATGATTGCTGACTTTCGAGAGCTTCAACCTGGCGAGTAAGCTCTTCCACCGACTCAGACAGTGCTGGCTCTTCTGAGACACTCTCATAGAAGATGAGAGTTGGAACATACCTGAGACTGAGGCCTGATGGCGATTGTGTTGGAGGCCATCACTACTAGGGTGGAGGCCATCGCTATTAGGGTGGAGTTGAGAGTTGGAACATACCTGAGTTTCCCGCCTGGAAGACCTGAGACTCCCCGAATTTTGGCCGGTTTGGAGCATCATAGTCGATATTCGATTCCAGGCCCCCCCCTTCTGGACGAACCAAATCTTGGCATCAAACATTAAATGAAAAAACAGAAGGGGTACTCCTAGGGATGTAAATTTCCCTTGGCAATATGCACAAAACATTGCAAATTACAGTACATGTTGCATGTGGTTAAGCATCTTAAAGGCAAATGTTACATCCCTCCCAACACCGCTGTCGTATTTAAAAAATACTCTTCTAGTTAGTCCTCTAACAAGAAGACACATTCACACACACATATATATATATAATACTTGCTGCATTCCTATCAAAGCCGAACCCAGTGGATGAACTTGGCTACCCAGTTCGATTGGCTGTCACTCTCTGTCCAGGGTCGCTCGTGTGTTGCCGGCTTTCCCTGACCCTGCGGCCCAGTGGCTGACCTGTCATCATGAGATTGGCCACGGCGCTCCAATCTGCCTTCTCTTTAACACAGGTATCATCGAAAAAGATCCAGCGCCTTCGAGCAGGGCACCAGAAGACTGCAACGTAGTGCATCCCACAGTAGCAAATCATGCCATGAAAGCTGTACAGCGAAGTGCTACGCTCAGCGCTGCGCTCCGCAGAAGCAGAAGCTGGCGAAGCCTCCGTGGTGGAAGAGGCGCAAGAGTTGCTACTGGCAATCTGGAAGATCTCTTCCATGCGGAGGGTGGGTTGGATCATGGAGAGAATCAGCCAAAGAAGGTCTCGACTGGGGCTGGAGCTGGGCCATACCAGGGACAAAATGAACGTCTTGGGACGCCGCGTGAGCCAGCGCTCTGTTTTCATTGTTTTTCGGGAGTTGCACTCACAGCAGTTCTTCCCCTCCTCCGTCTGGCAAAGCTGTCGTAGAACCTGGCATGAGATGCCCTGTCCATGAGACCCACTGGGTGCATATTCGACTTCACAATAGATTGAGACGCGAAAAGGCCCGAACACCACAAAACCAAACAAGAATATTGAATAAAACACGGAGAATGCATCTATTGATGTTGGATTGCTGTTGCCCAGTTCTTCATACCTCAGCTCGAAAGTACCACACAAAAGCTTCTGCTTTCCCTGCTTACCCTCCTTGCGCCTCCGAGAAGGGTCGCCGTGGAGCCCGCAGCATGTCCAACAAGCTCCCAGTCGACGGATCACTGGGCCTCTCCAGTTCCGTCACATAAGCGTTGTAGACATAGGACGCTGCCGCGGAGGGTTCGCCTGTGGCGCCACAGAAGCTGCACCGCGCAAAGTCGACGTATTCCAGACCAAAGACCTCATGGGCCAAACAAAGAGGATGGCACCCAAAATCCGAGGCCTCTTCCACCAGCTCCGCCGACTCAAGACGGCCAGAGCCACCCTTTCCGGAGCCTTGGTCGATGCCACGCGGAATCAAGAGTGGTTCGACATTGGCAGCGTGCAGAATGCCCAAGATTGCTTCAATGGTTTCCTTGGATTTGCTGTCCAGGAAGCCGGGAAAAGTGTGTTTAAACAAAAAATTCACTAGAAGGGGCTTCAGGGGATTCACCCATAAAAATCCGCCGAACCCGGCCTATAGCCAAAGCCTAGGCGGGGAGGCGCCTGGGACACCGCAGGGTGAAGCAGTTGGCTAAGCCTTGCAGAACCCTTCCAAGCCCTTCCAAAGGCATGTGTGCAGGTGCATTGTGGTTGGCCT